TATTCCATTCAAAAGTTATGTAGATTTTCAAGTGAATAACGAATGCCGAACGTTATTAAAATAGGGATGGTAGAAGAAGCAAGAAAAAGACGTCGTAAGACACTTGAAACTTTCAAAAGGTCATAATACAAACATTGTAAGAAAGTAATATCCATGATGATTTGATATTGCCTGAATAAGAAGGTACTTACTAATGCAAGAGTTTGTAGATGAGGGGTTTTCTGATTTCCAAGGAGCAAAGTCGTAGGCCGTTGTAAGATATTAAAAGACATTAGGAAAAAAAAGGTATATCGGCGAATTCGTGACTGGAGTGCAAGTACTCAAGCCAGTGCAGACGACACAAAAACTTGTCTCGAATTCGCATTCGTAAACTTCAAAAATATCCTCTTCGACGTAAACATAATTTTTGCAACTTTCGATACATCAGCCCTCGCTCGAGAATACAAAGTAAGCAATCTGAGGAATTTCAAATGCAGCCGACGATGATTCGAGGCAGCGAGAAAGGATCTGCAAGATTCAAGTACACACGTACACACACGCACGCGCACGTACACACAAACATAAAATAGAGCGCAGAGCAGAGCTGCTACAGGCAGGGGTGCGGGTGGGGTAAAGAAAGTTTTTTTGTCAAGCGTTCGATGAAAAATGTCGAGGAATTTCTTCACGGGGCAAAAGTCTGCAATCGATGTATTATCGGAGTGTGACAGTGTCGCGATATACGTATTATACAAAAGGTTGACTGTCGCGCCGTTTCGCGGTTGTGGCAGGCCCATAATGTAGACATTTTTTCGGCGGCTGCTGCTGTATACGTATGGAAAGGTGGGGCGCAAAATTGCGTTTGCGAAAGTGCCCATAAATCTGTCGCGCAACTTAACGGATGTTGTGCCGCGCGCTCAGCTAGCGTGTGTAAACTGCTCTAGACTCGGTGGCCGTGTGCACGTAGAGCCGTGCATACACGTACGTGTACGCACCCACACGCGCTCACGAAGCAGCAGCAGCTCGAGCTTTCTAGCTCTTCGCCATGTGTTACTCGCAAGTTTCGATTAGGCGTACAACTTCGCAGAGAAGTTGCGAGCTAGTTATACGTCATACGGTATTAGCAAAGCTTGCCGAGATGCAGTATTTTAATAAGCTAAGTAAGTACGCTTATTACACCTGCGCGACGCGCGCGTTTATGCATTCATGTGTGTGTGCGCGCGTCTACGGCAAGACTTCGACGTTGCATTCGATTTTTCAGAGAATCGCAGCTCGACTGCGGCCACCCTCCAGATCCCCCCACGGAATTGCCGTCGTGCCAATGAAAAATTCATACGCACTTAGTATACACTTATGTACGCCGGATATATCGACAAGGGCTTTCAATTGAATTCGTAATAATACTAATTAGTCATAGTAGAAAACACCGAGGGAGCAAATATCGAGCCTCCGCGACGTGTAAGAGTCTAGCGCGAAATCTCGAGTGTTTGCGCGAATAAAAGGGGCGAATAAAGGGAGAGGAAAAAAAAGATAAAAAAAGGGATAGAGAGGAAAAAATAAAAGCTATTATCATTGCAATAATAATTAGCTCGTTATATAAACACAAATGGACAATCTGATCGTTGCAATAAAGCCGCATCGACTTCTAAACGGTCTTTCCTCTGCCTCGTTTGTACACGTTACGCCGTTCGGCTGCGCGAGCTGCGTCGGTAGAATGTCGATAAATGGCAAAAAATAATGTGTAAGTTGGAGTTGTAAACGGTGTAAGTATATATTTATATGAAGGCAGCGGAGCCTTGGGGAGGAAGTTTTTCACGCTCGAACGACTTACATACAGGCGTAGATCGCGCTCGATCACTTTACGGACGAGTGCATCGAAGCCTTTTTCGTATCGATGAGCTAATGAGGTGCTGCTGCGCACACGCATTCGCGCACACACACATACATAATGCCAACGTGACTTTTTTCTTTCTTTTTTTCTCTCTCTCTCACTCTTCCTTCTTCGTCTCGGCGGTCTATAGATTTCTTGCACAATGAGAAATATAGCCCTGCTTTGTCTTCCTTCGCGTCGCGCTATACATAATAGCGTTTGGTTACTCTGGGAGTGCGCGCGTCGAATGCGGACTCGATACGTCTTATCTCGTTTGATTTTGAATCGTCACGGGAGATTGAACACTCGAACAAGCTTAACACGAGTACTTACGGGATGAGAAAAATGCCATTTAAACGCCTAGCTCAGGCTCTAACGTATTTTTCGCCTCGTTTTCTTTTTAATTTCATTCAATTTCAGTTCGCTCGCTTCACAAGTGATTTCAGAGATGTAATTTAAACCTGAGGATTTATCAACTTTGCAGCTGCGAGTATCAGTGAAAGAAACGGCAAGTGGAAAATATCTCGTAAAGTATTATTCTATTTTCATGGAATTTGCATCAATTTTCATGCTTTGAATGCAACCAAAATGTACTTTTTGAACCAACCATCGAAGAAGCCATTTAGTTAAAAGTTGCAATTTGGTATGTAAATGAACATATTTTTCAATTTGTTTTTTGATTTTCAGCTTTTTTATAATGAAAAAGTATTTTGACATTTTTATGGGTTTTAATTAAAATTGTCAAGTATACTCGTTATCAAACATTTTAAATATTTAAATTTTTCCTGAGTAACTATATAAGCAAGAATATTCAAAATTAAAAATTTAATCAAAAGACTTTGTAAATCAATCAGGGTGCACTCTAAAAGTATCAACGGTTTAGGTTCCTTTTTAATGTACTTTTTAGAAAAAGATCATGCAGTATCTTTTATTTAACCTATTGCGATTCGCGTGGTAGAGCTTATATATTTCAAAACATACACGACTTATTTGAAATGAGAGCTTAGACGATGTTTGTTGAGAGTTTACGCAGTTTCTCGCGAGTCTCTTACGTGACTTGGGGAAAGTTTCATAGAAATCAGTGATTTTCGTTAAGAAAAAAGCCACTTCTGATGGAAGAAAAAAAGTATCAGCAAACACCCAGCGAGTGACTCATAAAATAAATTTTCCAAACTTTTATAGCGAAAGATCACAAATAAGGCTTCAATATAAACACACATGTTCCATTACTCTTTTTTGCATGCAGCTGCAGACATTTGAATCGATTTATGCGTCTTTTATTTGTTTTTTTTTACTCATAAAGCCATAGCATAAAACGAGCGCAGAGCCCTAGGTGAAAATGTCGTTGCGTTGGAGGAACTGTAATTTTGCTTTACAATTGCTTTGATATGTACATTACGATTCCAGAGCTGCAATCAGTTTCCCCTTCACAAGAACATGTAAATTTGTGCAAATATATATATACAATATTACTTGTGTATTTCGCTGTAAGTACTGTAGAGCAGAGCTTATGGATATAAGAAAAGCAATAGTCGAGAATACACCATAGACGAGCTGCATTTAGCTTTTCCCGCGAATTGTATCTCACACCGTGTCAGTCGCGCGTAACTTCGGCAATGAAACGTAAACAACGTGTGTTTATAAAAATTACGCACGGGGTGTAAGGCACCGGCGAACTGAATCGTAAAGGGCAGTACCGACTTTACGCGCCATAAGCTGTTTCCATACGTAAAATATTCATGAAGTGCTACCCGTTTGATATGTGCGCTCGAATATAAAGTTATTTATTTCTCAAGCAAATATATTATGTAGCGCACGACTAGAATTTTTTGATGCTAAAGGAAAAACAGCTTTTAAATAAAGTAAGTCAAAAAAACGTTATTTTTCGAATCCGCGCGTCAAAGTGAATTTTGGGTCACGGATAAAGCGAAAAAGCAACGAAACGTTTGACACATCGGGAATAAATAGTCACACGAAGGCGGGCAATTTTTTCATCGACGTGCCGTACACATGCAGAGTGAGGGAAAGAGAGAGAGAGAGAAGAACGATCGGAAACCGAGCCGGAATATTCTGAAATGCGCGGAGAGTTGCTATAGTCAACCCTCGATCTCGGCAGTTCGATTTAACACCAAGCCCTGCTGGTAATGTATCCTCATCTCGAGATAAATGAACGAGCATATACGTATGTCCCACATAAGTGACGAGAAGTTGTTTATATGAAAAAAAAAAAAAAAACATCGAGCAGTTTTCCACATATTAAAGGAAGAATTGCGCACGTAGTTTTTTATATATAGTGGTGCTACACTACATATAACATAGCTGCTCGCGCGGGGCGACAGGTGCAGAGCGGGTGGATGCGCAGAAGCGTTTGCGCAGACTCGTTTACCTCCTGCTCGGGTGCGCTATTCTGGTCGGTCGCCGGCGTGCTGATGTGCTGCTGCTGCCTCTGGGGCGCGCGCGCACTCACACACACACAAGCGCGAACTAACGCACACGCACACATTCGCGCACACAGCCCCAGTCGACACATGCATGTACAGCAATTCGCAAAGCAGCAGCAGCAGCCAACGACGGCAGCGGCGGCGGCGGCGAGCCTCCGTGCGACGAACTCGCCTATGGCAGCAGCAGCAGAAGCCCGAGTGTGTGTACAAGTGCAGCAGATAATCAGTCGAGCCGTGAGCGCGTCAAGCGCAACAGCTCCCTCCCGGCCAGGCGAGCGCGCGGGTGTGTCGAATCGACCAAGTGACTTCTGCACCTTCGCTTGTCTCTCATCGTCCAAACGGAAGTATCAATAAAATTGTGCGCGAACAGTTCGATTCGAAAACCGTTGCGTTGAGTTCGGCTTTTGAATAGCGTCGTTCGCTATGCGTTTCAAAGTGTGTCGAATCGTTCGTTACTGATTTCGAATAATGTGTCCCAAATGTGCTGATGATACACAGTGCGGATGACGATAAAGTAGGAGAGATCTCGTGGCATACTCGTATGCGGTGTGTGACCGCTGTGATTCAAATTACTTACTTAGCCGAATGGAACGTGCACTGCAGCGACAACAGCAATCGTAGCAGGTGATTCGTGAAACGTCGTGTCGTTCCTTGCGGAACTGGTGAAAAGTCGAAATCCTCCGAATCGCGCGATTTCAAAGTTCAACCGTGTATTTTTGAGACCTGTGACGTCGTCGGCGAATTCGACGACGAATCGACGTCGTGCTTTTGTAAACAGTTGGCAGTGCAGTGCCGGCTACGACTTCCACGACTACTGCTACCAACTATGCACGAGCCCCGTACAATAATCACTATAATGATGCAACTTGTTCGGCTTCTTGGCCTACTGCTGTTATTAGCTGCTGACTCTTGCAGAGGTGAGTTTCCGAGAACCCATAGATACCCTATAGCACATACATAGAGAGGAATAATATGTCGACCTTATGCAATCGCGGGCGCATGTGTGTGAGCGTTTCTTGGAATTTGTTTGCTTACAATCGCACCCCTGGCGCTACGTGACGCGAAAGTCGATTTATTCGGAAAGCGCGACATTTATGTCGAAGCCCCTGATAAACGCTCTAATTTTCCCAGTTGCGCGCGATATTTTTGATAATTGACGTCGCTCGCTTGAATCGCCCGCACCGGCAACGTAGGTATACACTGCTCCACATCGTACACGTGTGCGAGTGTGTTTGTGCGTTCGCGCGAGAATGTGTACGCGCGAGCAACGTAGCTCTCACTCCGTCGAGCGAATTTAGGTCAATCTCCAGCGTGTACTTGCAAGCCCCCGGAACGTTTTCGTATATTTACATTTTCAGTTGAGTTACACTCGAGAGTTTATAAAAAATACAGTCTAACGACGATTATGCAGGCCAGCTCTGGCACATTTGGAAGCTCGAGCTTCATTCATCGGAATGTATGCATAGCTCATAGGAGCTACATAGGTATAGCAGCGAGGGATGTTTGCATGAAACTCGCGTGGCCCGGCGCGCACACGACTGACTAACTTTCGCAGCGAAGGCACGAGGGACTTGTTATACTGGCTTGTTCTCTGCGTGTATAATATTGCAACTTTGGATCCGAGTATCACCCCCAAAGTGTTTTATTTTACGCAGATACTGGCGACGCAGTTTCAGCTACGTGTACCACTCAATTAACATCAAAGTGGAGAATATAACTTTATATTTTTATTTTATTTTTATATTTTCACGACAAAGTTTTGTTTGTAAATTTTTTACATCGATTTATTTGTAAGTCGCGCGAACGATGTCAAAGTTATTTAAGAGCATCGCGAAAAGCTCGAAATCACGTGCAAGTTTTAGAAGAGTAGTTGGAGCGAGACGTGAAAACAAAACTAGTAAAGTTGTAATTTCATGTATATATGTATATAATGTAGAAACATTAGAAATGGATATGAAATTCATACCTTCGTAAACGTTTCTCTGAATAACAGAGAGCGCGAAAATGATCGAGCTTATAATAACGAATCCCACATAATACTGCGCATTCGGTCCACTAGAATAACGAATGAAATAATTTTCCCATTAAAAAAATAGTTCGAGCCGGTACGCGCAGCGAGCGGGTGGTAATGTTTCTCTGCATCGCGTATGAAAATGAAATTCATTACCGCGGCGGCAATCGGAGAAGCCTGCTATCGTCGACGACGACGACAAAGCGAGTATATCATACGTATATACGGGTAATTGGACCTTTTTTTCCCGCGCTCCTACTACTTCTCTTTCATTTATCATCCTCGCTATACGCAATACTTAATTCTCATCGTGGCTTGGTGCACGCATATTTTTTTACATGTTTTTTTTATACACTACGCTGAATAAACACGAGCGCACGAATTGCGCAAGCTCGGCAATGTCGATGCACTGCCAGCTTACTGCGTCTCTCTCATTCACCTTGAGGAATGCAAATTCGTACATGTGTATATATACGTGCAGGCGAACAATACATATAGCCAGACCGTAAGAGAGTACGGCTCGACTTTTGGGGTTTAACATTTTTCTCATCTCCTTCGCGCAACTCCTCTCTTCCGTTGCGCGGGGGTGCACGCGCGCGCCTATTTTTGTTTTGCACAAAACGGGGTAATCTGGCAGAGATAAAGTTTTCCAGCCTCGTGCACTTCCGCTTCTTGGTATATATACACGCTGCGAGCGTAGTGCAATACTCTGCAGCCGAGTGTACACGTATACGTATACAGCGCAGCGGCAACAGCAGCGCGAGATCTTCGAGGCAGCCTTTCTCCCTCGCTCTCGTCGTGCGGTATCCGCCGAATTGCGCAGCCAAGCGAATGTTTCAACGACGCCGGAAAGTTTCGAGGCACACGCGGGCACTGAGAGCGAGAGGGAGAGATATAAGCTGCATTATTGAAATCGCAGCCAGAGCCCCAAAGATTTTCTTCTTTTATTATACGCGATCTAGGCTCGTCAGAGTGAACATACTTACAAGCACATTACCAATTTCTTATTCAACTTCGTTTTTAACCTCGCGCCTGCCTGATTTTATCATTCATTAACTCTACGATACGCGAATCTTCTGTTTGATTTTCTTGTTATGTACATGGACTGTAGAAAATCGGATAAAACAACGATTCCTAATTTTGAATCATGAGTGAGCTCACTTGCCTATTTCTCTGAAATAATTATTTTCTGCTAAAAATAAGTTACTTCATAAGAAAGTTATCATGATTAAAAGACAGCAGCACCTTAGCAGGTATTAAATTAATACAACATCGTGTGGACTCCCAAAAAAAAAACAAATAAACTTTGTCGGTTTGGCAATACTTCTTTAGTTTTGAGAGCAGCAACTTGTGACCTCCGACAAATATGATTATGCTTCACAGAGTTTTCAGTAAAGTAATAGAATGACAGAAATAGTCTGTGCAATATTCGAATACAAGTACACGTCGAGTGCTGGGAAAAATGTTCAATTCACATGGGTAACGCAGAACAACGGGCAAAAAGATTGCAGAGCTCAGATAAAATACAATTCAAGTTCATAGTTTGCTTAGAGTAGCTTTTTGTTGGGGATCATTATTATAATTGTTTCGTATGAACCTTCGAGAATATTTCAGAAAAATTGTGCAAAATGAATAATTTCATAAGTCAGGTAGTTTTGAATAATTTGGAAAAAAGTATCAATTTGTACAGGATATTAAAAAAGCTCAAAGAAAGCAAAAATTAAAACATAAAATGATCAAATTTTTAATGGCACAAAATTAATATTTAATTTAAATTTGAATTGCTGAAATTATTTTGCAAAGGATAGCAGTGAAAAGTCAATCGCAGAGAGAGAGAGAGAGAGAGAGAGAGAGAGAGAGAGAGAATGAGAAAGAGAGAAATATACACAATTCACGGTGTATTTGACCTGCTGACTTGCAACATTTAAGCTGCATGAAAATCCATTTTTCGCGTTTATATAACGTGTACAATCGGAGCACTCTCGCATTGCTCACTTTGAACACAGGGAATCGCAATCGATTCTTTTTTTATTTTCCCTCAAAGCTTTGCGCATTCAACATTCTACCATTGCTCGGCTCGCGCGTACGTGCCTGCGTGGGCTTATAAACTTTCTAGTGCTTTAATTGGTAATCAAATGCGAATACGCGTCATAAGTTGAGCTTGGGAAAATTCGAAGAGGCGTGAAATCTTTTGCGAAATATTTGACGAGGATGAGTGAAATTGAGGAACCTAAATCTACTTCTTCCTTGCCTATCTATGCTAACATACGCGTGCTTATTTGCTTCCCAATTAAATACGCGCATATATTTACTTAGTTGTAACGATTCTCAGCCGCGCATGTGCACGCACATACAGACTACATTAGGGCTGCATACTTCTCATAACGACAAGCTTCGCTTTCGAGTTTAACTTTAAACAACGATATATATTCTCTCTTATTCGAGCGAACATCCCTCACTCCTTCCACGCGCACATATATATATATATTTAAATGAAACTTAGGCTAATATGTGAATATCTATATATTCGCTCGCTGTAAAATACATGCGATATACCTGGTGCAAGTTGGTTCGCGCCTGTACTGCCAGAAAGTTTATTGTCAAGCTTTCGTTTTTGGAGCAGTTTATAAATGAATGTACGCATGAAACGGCCCTACAGCGAGGATTAGCATGCCTCGGCTCTTGCATGGCGTCGATGCGCGTGGCTAAATTATCCGCAGCACTTGTTGATGACCTATTATTTTATAATATGGATAATAGAACCGTCGGATTATTTAACAACCAAAAGCATTGTTAAAATGCGTCAGAAATGCAAAGAAATAAATTTTACTTATACCGTTTTGGGCGCATTAAAGTGGCGTAAATTTTGTAGCGCATCGATACTTTGAGAGAGAATGATTATTTAATCCCCGAAAATTAACGCGCTAGGCTTGTGTCACTGCAAGGATTAATAATCACCGATCAAGCGAAATAAATGGTAGCAGCGAGTCTTTTCTCGTCGACGCAGATGTTCTCCCGGTATTTGCCTCGTTTTTGCCCGTCATGGACCATATATCCTCGGCGCAGTCTACATGCAGTGGCATCGCCAACGACTCGAAAGCGTATTTTTCACGTACAAAACGGACCTATATGTATTTCTTGTGCACATGTACACGGAATCGAGCGTCGGAAGATCCGAGTAAATAAGGTTCGAGGCTCGGAGAATAAAAAAGCAAAAACCGAGGCGTAATTTATACTTACACATAGGGCAACGACGGAAGCAAAGGAAGCTAGGATGGTCAAGAGGCAGCTTGCTCGCGAGCTGCTAAATAATGTATAAATGTAATATCAGCAGCTAGGGCTCCCCGTCACCTGTTCGACGCTACTAAGAGCAGTTCATATATGTCTAATGTTCTGTGAATGAGATTGCCGCTGCGCGTGGCTTTCGTTTTCTTGCGCGCGCTATACACACGGCATAATATATAAAATAATATAATACCGTCGAGTTTTCCGAGTCAGTCGCCTCGCATACATATCACAAAGACACGTTTACATGTGTAATATGCTCAGAAAAAAGAAAAAGAGTAACGTTTCGCACAAGAGCGATAATTGAAGAGGTCTTCGCTGCACTGCCGCTATTATGTGTGTGTGTGTGTATGCATACGCATGTATGCACACGTGGCAACAGCTACCTGACGACGGGAAGAGCTTAGAGTGTATTGTACGTTTCAGAATGAGGAAGTACATACGCACACATAAAATAGGCGAGGTTCAAAATCCGCACCGCTGGGAATCTCTACATGTGCGTGAAAATTCAGTCGGATGCGATTGTTGTATATATGGAACGTGTTTTAAACTCGATTAAGATAAAGGAGAAAAAAATGGCGCATGCGCTCGATAAAACCGATTGGATAAAATTAACTTTTC